GCCTCCGTGGGTTTTGTGACTCCGCTTTGAGAATCACTGCTTTGAAGTTCACAGGAAACCAGCTTTCCTTTGGTCCTTGGCCATCAGAGCTCTTCAGTATTTGAAATTAGCAGGTGTGTTATAGTGAATATAAGGGATATAAGGAAAGGAAAGAAAAGCGGTGGGAAATGCTATACAGCGTTTGATGCCAATTACTGTGAGGATAAGATCAGTTGTGTTTCTACACTTCGGTAGTGAACTAGCCAGAAGGAAATTTTTGGACAGGTGCAGAGTTCTGTTGGGGATGACAAAGATGTCTTGCATAGAATTAGTGCTGATGGTTGCAAAATGTTGTGAATCCATTTAATCGCACTGGACCGTCAAAATGATCATCATTGCTATGCAGATTTTATCACAATTAAGACCTCATCGATAGAAAGATAATTGTAGATATTAGAAATGTCACTAATGCTATGGAGCAGAGACCCACAAAGTGGCAGGGCTCACTGCCTGTGTGTGTATTGCCAACAAGCTGAAAATGACTTAGACATGTTTTTTAATGGCTGGAAAATCCAAAAGATGGATAATATTTCAAGATACTTGAAAATTATGTGACTTCCAACTTTTAGTATTCAGAAGTAAAATGTTTTGGAACCAAAAAATTAGCCTAAATGGCGGGATTTGGATGATAAATTTATCTTTGGTTAGGGCCCTGATACGGTTGTCTCTCCCCAGTTGATTCAAATCCAAGCCACTGATCACCAAAATGACCTCCTTTTTTACGGTAACCTCCTTATTTTCTACACACTTGGAAAAGTGCCTGCGCTTTTTGTCCTTCCTTACAGGTTTTAGTATTTTTGCAACCTGGTGTCTCATGAATGGACCTGCCTTTTAGGGGTTCCGTTTACCAGTGTTATGACATCCATGGGAGGTCATCGCCTCTCTTCCTCACTGTGAAGCTCTTTCTGTTCTTGAGCACCAGAGCACGGACGTGCCACTTGTACAGCCACTGGTGGATCCATTGTTCCTGTGCTTGGCACACTTCTGCCCACCGCCTGCCACCATCTTTCCCACTTGGCGGCCTTTCAGAGCTGCTGGGCTTGCCTCCATGTCCTGCTTGCACAGATGGAGAAGATCAGAGCTCTGTTCTATCACCTGCCATGGAAAAAACAGTCACGTCCATTTGCCTTCCCTCACTTAGTAAAACCAGTGACAAATTCAACATATTTTATCTGTGTTCGTCCTACTTTAATATTTCAACTGCCTTTTCCTAACCTTTATACTAATTTCCTCTTTTTCACTCTCATTGCAAACTCATGGCTTTTCATAGAACCAGTTTCTTCCAAATAACGATGTTAATGTTATTTTCATTTTCAAAGTGTCACAGGTGGTATGACAGGCTTCCTTCCTTGGATACCTTGTTTTATCAGTGTTGTTGCTGGCATGGTAAGCCTCGATTTCCGATGTTCGATTGCCTCGGTTCTGGTTTCAGTTCTGTGCTGAATTTTCAGGATGCAAGATACAAATATCTACTCTCTCAGAAGGCAGATTTACTTTCAGAGGAAACAGAGCTAGCGAGTAAACTCTGGTCACTGGTATCACACATGAGAATTGTGGGTAGGTGGAGACGCTCCTGGATCCTGTTTGCCTCCCTTAGGAGAGACAGGACCAGAAACAGTATCTTAAATAGAATTTTAGAAGTATGAGCTCGTCATGTTTCCAACTGAACGTTTCTTACAGGGTGAGGTATTGTCGACCACTAATATCTTATACTATGTTGACAGTTACTTTATTAAAGCAGTTGGCTAAAGGAAATTTAAATAATAGGGAGAAATCAGGCAAATAGGAACTGAGGTTTGAGAGCTTTGAGAATCAGTACCCATAGGAATTTCAGGTCCTGAATCAAGGCAGCAGTCCGTATCAAAGCCCAGAAAATACCCACAAGCGTTTCATAATTGAACAATCCCTGGTATGAACTATACAACCCAAGGGGAAGGTGCCAGTTGCTGAGCTGACTTTGGGTGAGCTCGAAGGTCTTGGAAGAATTTCTAAACTCAGCAAGCAGAGATGGAGCCATTCTAGGTAGTGGGGCCAAGGCAAGAAGTCGGAGGGTAATGACGGGAGAGGTCTGAGCAGAGGAGGCCAGAAGGGGACAGGCTGAGAGAGCGTTTGGGGATTCCAAATCCGGTCAGGCTGGGTACCTGCTGGCAAGTCCGTTGTGACCAATGACGCAATAAAATCTACAAACCCAGGGACTTTTAAAATAAATTTTAATCTGTTTCTTCAAAAACAATACATTAGCATTTAGGGATCTTAAAAATTGGGTACTCGAGAACAGAGACCAAAATCACAATGAAATAATAACTGTCACAGTAATAGTCAACATTCGGAGTTTCATACCCCGTGTATGCATTGTTTCCGCAGTGAAATCTTCATTCACTACGTTCACGTCACCATCTCTGTAGCTGATCTTTTAAGGGAATACACAATTTAAACAGACTCATGAAAGTGGTATTTCATTTTTAATGTGCGTTTTCTTTCTCGCCCCACAGAAACGTAATTTTTATTGAGGTATCATTGGCGTATACCACTGCGTGTTTCAGATGTGCAGCGTGTTGATTTCATATTGGGATGGATTGCACAGATGGCCACGGTGTGTGTAGTTAGCAAACGTGTCATGCCCGTCTCTGATGTGTAAGCAAGGTGGAAGGCGGAATAGACTTCCTGGGAGTCCAGTGCCTTTTTGAGAGGAGAGAGGAAGGAAATGCTTTAATGTACCCGATTTAGGCAGGAGAGGAGAGGAAAAGATTAACAGAGTCAGAATCCAGAAATTAACCTGACAGCGTTAGTCAGCCTCTTGTACTGTGGATAGTACATGCTAGAAAAGGAGGGTGATAGTCCAAGAGTCTGTTTAGAAATTTTTTGCTGAGGTATCACAATACTGCCACAGGGTCAAGGAGCTAGGAATTTTCATGCTCTGTTGATCAGTGTGTAAACACCAACGTGGCACAGCCTTCTGAGAAACTGGCTTGGAAACATCAGATAAAGCTTCAAAATATATGTATTTAATAATTTTCCAGAGCATCGTAAAATCTGAATAAACATCATTCTTATTATTTTTTTTTTCAAAACTACTGTTTAGGCAGCCTGTGCATTTTGTCTTGTTAACATATCATGAAGCAGATAATGCCTGGGTTTCAACTGCTTATTTATTTATTTAGTTATTTAGTTTTAAAGATTTTATTTATTTGAAAGAGAGAGCACAACCGGGAGAGGGGCAGAGGAAGAGAGAGAAGCAGACTCCCTGCTGAGCAGAGCGCACTACACAGGGCTCCATCCCAGGCCCTTGGGATCATGATCTGAGCTGAAGGCAGACGCTTAACCAACCGAGCCACCCAGGTGCCCCTCAACTGTTCTTTTAATTCATCAATTCAAACTTAGAAATGGAGGTAGGCCCAGGGTTAGAGCTTCATTAAATAGCTTAAGA